CCGAGCGGATGACGAGCGCGTCCCAAGTTTGAGGACAGGCTCTTTGTCCTTGGTGTATCCTAGGTGATCCTAGGTGTATGTTCTACATGCTTACCTTCGCCCTTCACAGCCCACAATGGCTCAACAAAGGCCCAACAAGCGCCCAACATCCATTAAAACTTGGCTTAGCATAGGGGTGGCATCAGCGTTTGCCGTGTGTTGTTGAATTGCTAACAAACACCTTGCCCTAGGTGTATGTTCTGCATGTGCGCGTTTGCCCCCTCCAGGTCCGTCATAGGTCCAAGAAGCGCCGAACATAGCCCCCCACATTGCTCCTTAAAAGGAGGGATTCCGGATAACATGTTTTCTTACCTCAAAGGACGGAATTCCGGATAACCGGTTTTGGTTTCACAACGACTCGAAAGTGGTTTCTCTTATGTATTTTAAAGGACGGAATGCCGGACAACCCGTTTTTGCTTGAGAATGACTCTGTGCTTTGTTATCTTGCAGGAGGGACTCTGGATAACACGGAGGTTTGAAAAGAGGCTCAAGCGCGGATTTTAATGAGTGGATGTGCAACACGGCTCGCGAAATCGAAGCAGCCACTCAGCCACTCTGCCAGAGAGGCTGGACCAGCCACTCAGCCACAGCCACTCAGCCACTCAGCCACTCAGCCTGCGGATCATCATGCCCAAAGGAATGAGACATTTGGTTATAGTTCCAATGTATTCATATATGTATGTTATTAAAGAAATTATATATATATATGTATATATATATATGTATATATATATGTATAGATATAGCTAGACACAAACACACCTAAGGTCATATCATCCACCTCCATCATTTCATCATTTACCACAGTTCATTTTCACAACAGTTCATATCATTTCATCACAGTATCAACGCAAAATAAAACCACATAATTTCATACATCATCATCCCACATCATTTCATCATCATCCATCATCACATAAATTCATATCATAAAGTTTCATCATAATATTTTATCATAATATATTATTATAAAATAATATCATAAATCTAAATCATCCACGTCTAACATTCCTATGTTCGAATCATAAATTTTCATATATTATGATATGAAAAATTATGGGGTTAAAGTCTTTTAAAGTTTTTTTGGTGTAATGGTTTTCCAGATATGTTTCAATTTTGCAATTCTGGCTTCATCATCTTTTAAGTATTCCTCCATATATATTTGTTTTTTCTCCTCTTCCTTTTTGAGTTTTTCCTTGCTGGAATGCCTGTCGGTTTTAAGATGTTTGGACAACATGCATTGTTTCACATTCCGTTGGCAAATGTCGCAGAATACGTCCTTTTGATTATATACTTTGCTACTCTCCTTTTGTTTGTCCAAGCATTCAATACACATTCTATTCATTCCATTGAACTCGTCACCATTTTTGTTTTTCTTACACTTTGTGCACTTTCTACTCTCCATACTATTATAAGGTATTATCCTTTCAATTTTAAGTGTATTTCCTTATGTCATAACAAAAACACATATTATCTGATATGACAATTTATGGGGTTCAAATATAAATTCCTTGTTGTTTTCTTTCATACACTTTGTCAAACTTATTCTCGTCAATAATTGTATTTCCAATAAACTGTTCATTGTCTTTGATATACAACAATATTTTCTTAAGCAATCTATAAAGGTTTCATGATTAAAGTTATCATCCATACAATCAGCATCATTAATATGCATTTCTAACATGCAGAATGCAACAGTAGAATATGAATTGTTACAACATTTTTCAATCCTTGTCCATAATCTTGATAATGTCTCATTTCTTTTTCATTTAATACTAAATTCATTTTATCATCTGGAATTTCATTCACTAAAGTATTATAAACGTATATTTGAATTTGTTCATCAATATCATCATCGTCACAAGGGTTAATATGAAATTTCAATTGAATCAAAATGACTCATTATATTTGAGCAACTTTTACAGGCTACATATTCACAAATGTTATTGCCAATACCATCGGTAAAATTATTTTTGATAATTCATTTTATTGTTGCATATTCACTACATTTACAGCTTAAGATTTTTTGTTTGATGTATTCTTCTTGATTGATTTCACGTTCACTACTTGTATCACTGAATGACATTTCGCTAATATATATATATAGATAATATATATATAATATTCCTTTAAGTAGATTTCCTATAAATGGTAATTTATATGTTCAGCAATTCATGCCTCAATAGTGGTCTATTGTATCCTTCTAATGTATAATATGTTTGATTCAATTTTTCATCAATGGACTCTACGGTATACTCACCTTTCAAAAAGTGTGATTATAGGATGCTTAGGGGGGGATGGAAGGGGGGGGATGAATATGTATCCCTAGTGCTGCTAGATCCATCCCCATTCCTTCTATAGAGTTCCCTAGCAGTGCTAACAGTAAGGGCCCTTAAGGAATACCAAAGGGTCTGGAGAGGTCCCTAGCACTCCTGGTTTATACATGTTTTTGGCAGTAACCAAGAATGAACAATTAAGGGAATATGATTTGGAACCGGCATAAAACTTCATTGGGGTCCCGTGATTTTTTATGTGTCACCGAGCTTAATCCGCTGGGGCCCATGATTCTTCATCCAGCCCACCCCATTCCAAGCACGAATAGGGTATAGTAGTGCAGACTTACCCGAAAAAACCGCAATAAATTTGCACAAATTACGAAAAAAACGCTGGTTTTTGTACGTTTACTGGGTGGCTAGGGAGCTCCCTAGCACTCTTGGGGAGGCTTAGGGAAGCTTAGGGAGCTCCCTAGCACTCCCAAGCAATCCCTTTACTGAGGGCCTCTAGAGAAGGATTCGGTCTCTGGGAACCCGTCATTTTTTGTCAAGTACAAGATGCGCTTGGCATTGTCGAAGTTGAGCTAGGATGTTCAGAGTCCGTTTCCCACCCTGTCTTGCCAATATGGAAACCAGCACACATTTTGGGAAATTACCAAGAGAAAAGTGTTTGCTCACCTTGAGACGTCAGCTTAAGATGTGGGATTCGTTGAGCATCTAAGAGTTGGTAACTGTTGGTAAGTTAAAGGAGAAGGTTCTCATTCCAGCCTAAGCTCCCCAAAGCTCCCTAAGCCAACCCCCCCCTTGGATCCCCCCCCTTAAGAATCCTATAATGTGAGGTTCGCTCCTTCTCCGTTGTTGCTTTCTTCCTTTTGATTTTTACTTTGTCTCCCACAGATAGTTCAGGATAGAGCCTCTGTTTCTTTGCTTTCATTGCAATGTTTAATCTTGACTTGAATTCATTGTCTGTATCTCTGGCTTTATACGGTGTTTGACCAGTAGCGGAATGCACATCTTTATTATTGTAAGTTAACACAATTTCATCTATGTAGTCTATCCATTGTATATTCGTTTTTTTATTCTGTTCATCGTTCTCAACTCTTTTGCATAATTTGTCTTTAAAAGTTTTTATAAAACGCTCGGCAAAAGCAGGGTGGCCTCTTGTCCTATACAATTCAGCCTTCGCTTTCTACATATGCTTGGAATTCACCACTTGCTATAGTTTTCTCGTCGTCGGTGTATATGATTTCAGGTTTCTTGCCCATCTTCTCTATCGCTTTCTTTGTTCCTTGAATAACACTGCCTGTCTCTTTCCTTCTTACTGGGACTACGACAGCATACTTACTCAAACAATCAATACAAACTAATCCAGCTCTGTATCTTTGTTTTACCTTTAAATCTTTTTTGGAAATAAAGAATATATCAACTTGGTATCTATGATTGTTATGTGGAACAACAAAGCTGTTATAGCCTCTCGGGTTCATTTTTATCTCTACACTTTTTTTGAAAAATAGTCAACATCTTTCATAGTAATAGATTTGTCTTTCTCTCTTGCATCCTTCAAAGTAGTGTTTTTGGAACCAAACCCCGCTTTATAAAAGTATATGCTTCCTATGATTTCTTGCTTACTCATACCAATATTTTATTAAGTTTATTATTTTGAAAAATCTAATGTGAAGAAGAATTGCAGTGGCAACAATAAGCCTCGCAGTTGTCAATAGAATGGCACAGTCCATTATCACCTCTCTGCGCCGTAAAGTTACTTGACAATTTGCCACCTCTGGTATCAAGATTAAATTTAACTCCACAGTTTGCACAACAACCCATGAACATCTTCAAACATGTTCATCAATGTATTCATCAACTATTTCTCTTCCTCCTTTTCTGTCTTGTCCTTTGTGACCTTCAACCTTGTTTTTAAAATAGTTAACTACCAAATTCTTAAACATATCTTCGTCGGCTTTATCATTTTTGAAAAAATATACATTATTGAAATCTGTTGCTCTGGTTACAGCACACCATAGCCATTCTTTGCTCACCAAATAGTCGTTGTAATAGTTGTTTCCAATCCTGAACTTGTAGAGTTCATCACCACTCTCTTTCTTTTTAAGTGATTTCAGGTTATGGTTCAAAGTGTATATGTGGCTGTTCTTAATCAATCCATTGAAGTTATGTAGCTATGGCAGTTGAAGTTTACAGGGTTATGTTTGTAAATCAAGTTGCTGTCAATGTCATATACTCTTGCTTGGATATTGAAATGTTTAAAACTTTATCCGTCCATTTCATTGATTGATGACTCTGCCGCAGCCACTCAGCCACTCAGCCACTGTGCCAGCCACTCAGCCACTCAGCCACTCTGCCGGAGTGGCTGGAGGAGTAGCCACTCAGCCACTCAGTCACTCTGCCAGAGTGGCTGGAGCAGCCACTCAGCCACTCAGTAACTCTGCCAGAGTGGCTGGAGCAGCCACTCAGCCACTCTGCCAGAGTGGCTGACGCAGCCACTCAGCCACTCTGCCAGAGTGGCTGGAGCAGCCACTCAGCCACTCAGTCACTCAGAGTGGCTGAGTGGCTGAGTGGCTGATGTGAACATTTCCGCCATTGCACGTTCAATCTAATCATTATATCCTCATTACTAACCATCAACTCAGTGAAGCCATAAACCGCACAGCAGTTGTCCCAACGTTTTTTCCCCGCTGTAATGCGGGCTGCGTTTTAGCAGCACCAAGGACTTCAAAGGCATGCGGGACAACAGCAGCGGAACTGCACCACCAGGTTGCCGGAGTCATCTGACGGTGATGAACAATGGTGCATCTGCAAAGGTCTATCATGGGTATATTACTGATGACTGGATATAATGGAATATTCATGGAATATGTACTGTAACTATCAGGGGTTGTTACCCTCAAGTTCTATCAGGGGTTGTTGAATGTCCTAATTGTTCACATCGCCCAACTAAAAAGGTACTTGAAAGTGATCTTCGAAATCCCCCAACAGGACATTTGTCAAAACTCAACTGCTGAATGCCGACCTTGAACGGTGTCTGCATCCTTTCCCCTGCCTGTTGTGGACTTGTTGGCGCAAACCTGGAGGAAACCACTGTCGAAAATCCAAGAAGATGATCTTAAGAAGTCAAGTGATGTGAAAAACCATCATCATTATCTATGGATTAGTCATGGTCAACTAGCCATTAATAATGGTCAATCAACTGATAATGATGATGATAGTAACCACTAGTCAACTAGCCATTGAAAGCTTGGTGGATAATGGTCAATGATGTGCTAACCATGATTTTATCTACCATTAACTATCCACTATCATCCATCACCATTATCATTATCGACCATGATTTCCACCATGATTTCCACGTTTCCACCGTTTCGGCATCTTTCTGGGCAGATCGATGTTGTGCCTGTGTGCCAGCGCATGCCGCCATGCCGTCGATCGTCGTGGCACAATCAGCCTCAACTGGGACGGTCGAAGAGAAACCAAACAACGGGGGGCCAACATAAATTACCATATGGGTGGGTGTTTACCCCAAAAATAGCTATTGAATAAAAGGGAACATGAGGTTTTTCACTATGATATGGGTGGGTGTTTGCCAAAAAATAGCTACTGAATGCTGTTGAGATTGGGAAAATGAGGCTTTAAACATCTTCGCTGCAACCTGGACGTTTGCCCGGAGTTGATGTCCCGCCTTCCTGATTTTGATCCCTCATGAAGATAAAGTTGGTGTTATTATCCCAATCAACGTATTGTTCAGATGGGGTGGCGAATGTTGATCCCTCGTGAAGATAAAGTTGATATTATTTCCCCAATCAACATATTGTTCTGTTCTGTCACAATCATGAGCCTGGGCGAACGTTAAGGTTGCGGACAACATCTTTAAACTATGAGATTGGGTACCTCGGTACCCCATATTTCCGGATTTCACTGCAAAAAAAAATGAGTTCACTATAGTTCGCTCACCAAGAATGATGGGATGATCCAATTCCAATTTGGATCGGTTGGTAGATAAAACCCATGAACTATCGCAGTGATGTTTTAGTGATATGTTAACTCCAATCGCCAAATCCACAGGGGTGCAGATTGCGGATTTCTTTCAAGTTTTAGGACCCAACTTTCGAAGTTCAGGGATTGCAGAACGGAAAAAACAAAAACATCTTGGCAGATGGCATCAAATGACATCCAATTGGGGTTGTCTGAAAATAGAGTATACTAAGCATACCCCCCGAATCTGATATGTTATGATTATTTTCCCATATTTTCCCTATTGAAATGGCCATCAATTGGGGTAAAATCCCTTTGTTGTAACTCGACCAAGCAGCAGAATTAAAGATCTGCTCAGCGCACTTGTTCTCTACACACCTCGTCAGCAACTGGGCTAACCCCACAAACCGAATTATGTATTTGCGACTGCTTAAAAGATATTAAAGTTGTAGAACGTACCATGATAATCTATAATAATCAACATATATTTAATATCGTGGGTACCATAATCAACGTACCTTAATAATTTACAATAATCTATAATAATCTATGATATACATTTTGGGTATGTATCAAGGGATTAAGCCATGCCGAGCTACAAATCGCCGGAAGTGCAAATCTCCTCTTGCTCCTTGTGTCGCACCTGTCTAGCTCGGTTGTCTCAAGATGGGTGCCCCTGAATTCCAATGACTATCATCGTCTCTCGATTTATTCATTGCGATTTGGGGAAACAGAACGTTACATGTTTGAACAAATAAATATACTATAATAATAAATATACTGATACTTATTTTTTGGTGGCTGTGCATAATACCTAATTACACACCGTGGATGATTTTGGTTGTTCAATGATGGATCCACATAGATTATTTCCATGGGACAGCCCTGCCGCCTTCTCTGATCGCATCAGTGGTTGCGACATTCCATCTGCATCCACGGTCCTCGGCTTCAAACAGTGTGAACCGATCGAAACTTGAAACATTGTCAAAAACCTAACCCCGTCAAGTGGCAGTTGATCCTGAAGAACAGTTTCCATCTCACCCTCTCACATGCAGCTGGACAAGTGAAGAATCATGAAGAATCCCTTGTGTTTTGTTCGACAAACCCATCAGCCAAGCTGCACATTCACCGTGATTGCATCGCAGATCCCAAGTGTGAGCAGGAGTATCCTGACAGTTCCGTTGCAGACGGATCGCATGGATCGGGTGCTGAACGATCTATTCATCCAAGGAACCGGTGAAACGATCTATTCATCCAATGGAACCAGCGAACTGGAAAGATCCTGGCAATCGAAAGTTCAAAAAGAGAATGGGAGCAAAGTTGAAAGAATTCGTATCATCATTATTGGCGATTTGTTTCATGCAAGACTTTTTTGAAACTGTCTGACACTTCCAACCAAATGTCCAGCATGCACTGGAGTCCCAGGTTCATTCCCCCGCCTGAACCGCGGGTCAGTGCGCGCTTAGAACTTGCTGAGAGCCAGTATCACAGTATCACAGAAACCATACAACGTTCACATCACCGTGCGAATGAATCGAATTTGGCACACCAAAATTGGATGGTTGAAATTCAAAATATAAAGCAAGTTTCTGGTTTAGGAGGAATCCAAAAATTCGGCCTGCTCCACTGGCCCCGAGTGCTGAATCAGAGGTTGGAAGCAATTGCAATGCTGGAAAAAATGTTGTACCCCGTACTAATTTGTTGCATCAAAATGGTCTTGGACAGAGACAGCTTTGGCTAAACTGTCCCATTTTGTCTTCTAGAGACCTGACTTTAGGCGATACTAAATCTTGAGAAACCGACCAGTTGCCATCAGTTTTCTATGCAAACTGCAGAAACCATCGCATTTGCACAGGTTTTTTCAAGCACAAACGGCCATGGAATCAACGTGCGCTGGGTTTTCAAATGATCAGCTCACGAGCCACTCAACATCTCTGCTTCAACGGCCTCATCTACCAAGAAAATACGACTTCTGAGCAAAACCATGGGTGTTCAAAACGCAAGCCCGTCTTGTTTGCTTCAATGAACGGACCAGCCCCAAAATTGGGAAAACCCTCTGGGCGTCGGGCCCTCTGGGCGTTGAGCCCTCAAAGTGATGGAGGGATGCAGATCCATTGCCCTGCAGTGATGAGTTCCTGGAGCATCAAAATGGAAAGCACCAATTCCAGTGGACTGTCATCATGATCATGGTCATCATTATGTTGGATTACCTATAATGATTATCATTAAAAAATCCAATGTGCAATGATACGAGCAATGTATAACCTTATCGTCATCATGCATTTACGTGCTCATGTTGTGGTAAGGTTGTGGTATACGGTATACTCCATTTCAGGACAAACTTACGCATCTTTCCAAACATGGTAATCATCAGGACCTCAATAAAGCCATGGACCATGAAACTGCAGACGTGTCGCAACCCCAATCGCAGCCGTCCCAAAAGGCCTGGAATTTTCGAAACAGATCTCAGTCGAGAACAATGGCATTACTGGCATTGGCCTCCTCCAGCAGGATGTGTAAACGGTTCTTCCGTCCCAGAACAGTACCTGATACAATGTACCAACAAACCTAAATAGAATCTATAGATATGTATATGTATGGTCAGCGCCCCCCCCCACGACCCGCAACTTTACATATAACATCGGGGTGCTGGCCAGGCGGATATTATCCTATCCTCTTACAACATCACGAAACCACGCAAAATACAGTATAAAATGCACTTCTGGCTCCACATCATCAACATGTTGACTTCAGAACTACATATAAATATATCAAATTAGCAAAACCGAATTTCGGTTTCAAAAAATACTTGGTCAATGCATTGCCCTATGAGAGTGGGTTCACCATGAAAACCAAAAAAACTACCCAAACACAGAATGCATCAACAATACTCTCTGCACAACACCACATCAAAAATGTGCAATAGTAAAGAAAACCAAACAAAAACACAAAAATATAACCAAAAAACATCCCAATAAAAAACAAAAAAAACAAAACGTTGAAGAGACTTTTTGGTTTGGCCTCAGAAGATTGTTTTTTTTGGTGTTCCTTGTGTTTTTTTGTTTTTTGGTTTCAACACCCAAATTTGGTGATTTTCTCAAACCAAAAAAAAACACAAGGTTTTTTTGGTTTTTGCATTTCAAAACCAAAAAAACAAAAAAAAAACAAGGAAAACCAAAAAAAACATCTTTTGAGGCTAAACCAAAAAGTTTTTTCAAAGTTTTGTTTTTTGTTTTTTGGGTTTTGAGATTTTGGGGTTATTGTCATTGTCTACATATTACAAGCTTTCAGAAAAGTTGCGATTTTTTATAGAAAATTCCTTTCAAGAACGTGATCATAGTAAGCAATATGTTTGCAAGTAGCAAGAATTTTGATATGTTGATTTGATATTATAAATGTAAGTGTAAATTTTATAGTAACTATTATATATGTGTTTACTATTTCAACTATATAAGATTTGTAATATGCAGTTGATTTGTAATAGAGCTTACATTATATATAATAAACACATCTAACACAATAGTAACTTTATTCATTTTTTTAATGCTGATTAGTGAATATCTTGATTTCAGTTAGTGTTCATTTTACAAAAACATAGTATATGCAAATTTTTAAATGATAATAGAATAGTGCTGTAATTACAAAGTAAAGGCGCATTTGCTTAATGGATACTTTTTTTGTATTTTATTATTAGCATACCTATGTATTTATCAAATAGTATTTGTACATAAATAAATTTCTACATGTTACCAATACCATTTTACTAAGAAATAGTGGTTATTAATTAATATTATATAAATAATTACATGAGTTTATAAATACAATGTTTTCATGTCTAATAAAATTAAACCCAATAGTAATAGCATATCTAATAGTAACAGCATTAATAAAGCAATGTTTCATTGTTATGGGTACTGTGATGCTAAATAATATGATATGAAAAGCTTAGAGCAGTATTTTCAGCAATATAATATAGGAACACGCAAGATAGAATATTCTGTACGTTTTTCTCAACAATTTGATAATGAAACAGTAGAAGTATTTTAATCTGTAGTGATATGGGGAGATACCCATAATCAAAGAAAATATGGTTTATCCATTTTTGAAAATTGTAATTATTAATAAAATTAGCATTCTTACTATACTTGCTATATCTTACGCTTTAGCTCAATCTGTTAAACTAAGCTCTTTAGAAAATTCTGTGGAAAGATTGCCAGAAAACACTCAACCAATACACGAAGAGCTTGCAAGAAAAGGTGAAATTTGTTTATCTAAAAAGATATTTCGATTAAAATGGGGATTTTATTTCAAGAGAAATATTCTATTAGTGTGCATAGTGATGTATTAGATATAACAGAGGTTTTTTGGAAATGCCTAACTACGAGCCAATATACTCTTTAGAAGCAAAGTTGCAAGATGTGCAATCTAGGCAAAATATACTTAATAAGAGACTAAAGATAGTAGAAGAATTATATAGTATACTTACCAATTAGCTAAATGTAAAACTTTCTAGTAAGCTTGCAACAATAATAATAGTGTTAATAGCAATCGAGGTGATACTAGGTTTAACAACTCAGTTGCAAAAGCTATTTGTTTCATTTACTTCTATAGCTATTAAGATTAGGTGGCTAAATATGTTTGCTGTAATTTAAACTACTTAAGAAAGATTTTCTTGTCTTACGAATTATGTATTATCATTTTAATTCAGGCAATAATATTTTTTGCATTAGTATGATGTGTACAGGAGAATAGAGAAGTATTATTTTTAGGTATTTTTAAATGCTTATCTGTGAATTCTCATTACTTTTCTTAAAGTCAAAAATGTTTTATTCTAATTAATTGTTTTTTCTCCAAAGTAGTAGTTTCACCAGATTTAGTTCCCTGTATACCTAACCTGATTCTACTTTTTTCATTCTCTAAACCAAGCACATTACTTTTCATTGTAAAATGTTTATGTTGCTTATATTGATTAGCAATGTCTTGTAAATCTAAATAACAATACTGTCAATACAACGTCAATACAGCTGTGTTGCTCTCTATTCTGTAAGACAATAAGACTATTGTCTTTCTGGTATTTTTTGTCATGGCACCTGCAGCACTTGCATCTTAACACCTTGGCCCTTACTCCCAGAGACAGCAAAAAAAAACAAATTGCGGGTCATGGGGGGGCGGTGAGCATATATATATATATATATATTATATATATATATTATATAATTAATTATGCATAATATGCATCCGACGCTATTTTCGTCCTAAACTCGGATTTGGAAAAGTTGTTCAGGTTCCCTTGTGTTTTGGAAATGGATTTTGCCAGTCCAGTGTCTTTGGCACGTGATTGAATTTTTGTTTGTTTTTTCTTAATGTCTCAAGGGTCAGTGCGGTATAGTCAATGTCGACCCTTGCATTTTCACGATCCAAAAAAATGAGATGACAAAATGTTTTCCCATAACCAAAGGGTCAAGATTCTGTGCCATGAATGGACCCCACATCTCAAACCTTACAAATTGGGATCACATCAGCATGGCATCAAACACACCCAAACTCCTTGCTAGTCGAAGAACTTCCGGAGGACCTAGCCAAGTCTGGGTTGTTTTGAGACAGTTGCATACCTTAATTCCTTCAATCTGGGGTGTGTCCAGAAATTGCGTGATACCTCAAAATTTGAAGGGGAAAATCATGAGAAACTAGGGGATGGCATGGGGATCCAAATTTCTGGACAAACCCATGTTGATTCCAAGTTTCCACATGATTCTGCACAACTGTTTGACAATCTTTGCACCAAGCTGTCGTGAAACCTACTTTCCGTGTTGTCTTCCATCTGCCTTGCTGGTGCACAATCGCCGCCCTTCATCCACGGATGCCTGTATGCAAACAATGCAAATGACATGCGGCAAGCTGTAAATGCATCAGTTGGTCATCCTTTTTCTCCACCGTTGTGTCGCTGGGCGCCGTGCACCACAATTTCATGCAGCGTCAATCGCTGAAGCGGATTTCGCCGAAGCAAGCTGCACACAAAGTGCCGCGCCTTTCATACAAGGTAGCATCACGCGCAAACAAAACAAGCAACATCAAATAAACCATATGCTGGATTTGTCAGAGGTGGCCTGTGCAGATACCGCAGGAAAGAGGAGTTTGTCAGCCCCAGCGCGGATCTGCAAACATGGAAGGCGAGGGAAAAGAAAATGATCCACATCAACATTCACAGAAAAATTAGTCAGGTCCTGCCTCAGCCACAATTGCCATCAAGGCTTTGCGGTAACAAGGCAGAGGAGGTTGCAGCGGCACGAATGGGATCTTGCCACCTGAATAATGCACTGCAGCAGGCTCTTTCCTGGTGATTGCTCCCAGAATTTTAAAAACAAGCACGCAGTTCTGGATGGCACCCAATTTTGCCTAGGCGCTGAGAACTTCATAGAATAACGCCCCTGTGGACCACCAGTCGACCTCGGTCAAAATAAATCAACACATGTTGAACGGACCGCAATCCCGCACAAACTCAGGCAGGTGGCATGGCAAGTGTACTCCATGTCGCTGAAAGTCTCGGGCGCCGCATAATATGGAGTCCCGCACCTTTCCACGCTGTTCTCACCAGCTGATACCCCACAAAAACAGCAGGGCGGCCGCCCGGATCGGTTGAACCCCAGGGGTAAGGAATTTGGCGACTTACCATCCAAGCGTCAGGGTTTCAAAATCCCAGAAATGCAGTTCGGTATCCATTCAAGCCACACTTGAGTCCCTTAACATTCTGTGACGGACTACACACAACTGTTGGCACAATTCTAGAATCTGACTTAGTTCCGAAGGCTGACAACATCAGATTTGATGGCATAAAAAATGATGAAGTTAGCAAATGCAATCGAAGCACATACCCTTTGCAGTCGCTGCAGAGATTGAACATCCGAAGTCCGAGAGCACCAGTTGCCGCTGAGAGTTCCTCAGGAAAATGAAGTCAAAGGAAGCACAAAGAAATTGTTCAATCCTGATTAACAAGACCTCGGTCGGAAGGAGGGATCAAGCAAACCAAGGACAGGTCAGCTGCTCTTACAGACATCAAAAGCAGACGCCCGAGCGGGAGACTTCAGTGAGAAAGTACTAGCTGATAACGCAAAGCCAAAGATCACCAGTATGTTCTCGGGTTTGATGTCACCTCAGCGCCAACTGGCGCGTTTCAACAACTTTATCCAGCAGGAACTCTGCTCAAGCCAAAAGCTTTGACTGTTATGCCGTTATGCCAGGTTGCGATGCATGATGCCAGAACAATGTAGATGATCCACGGCATCAGCAATTGGACGAACAGCAAGCCGCGCCGCCTTCTCCTGCACCAGCAAACCCAGAGCGTACATGTCCTCTCAACCCGCTGCCCCATCACCCCAAATCAAGCCTGCAAAGGGCCACCCGCCAAGAGCCTCCCACGCACTGTCAACGCCCAAGCTGAAAACAACCAACGAGACCTGCCCACCTCATTTCCCATACAAGGGCACGACAAGCAAAAAGATTGATACAACCCAACATAGGCCGGACACCAGTTGGAAAAGAGCCATGGGCACGATACTACTCGTAGCCGGCACGTCCACAAGCATCTTTGCAAGGACAAGCACTGTCGGCATTAGGTCTCGAATCAGTGCCTCCGCAAATCACACAGGCACAACTCCATCAGCAGTGCCACGATGTGGTCCTAGGTGCCAGGCTCCGAGATACATCTGGAAGAAGGCTTAACTAATGATCGCATGAAAGGCAAATGAGAACCTACGTACGACTCACAGAAAGCAATAAGCATCAAAAGCTAGCATGCAAACTTGTAAACCACGCCAAGCAACATTTTCAAAAGCCTCCTGCAACTTCAAAATGTTTGGGTGGCTGCTGGCCGCCTCCAAGAAAAGGTATGTACGGGGATTGCAGTGTCAATTTTGCTGCGGCGCCAGGAGAAGAAACAAACAGAAGCACAGACAGACTTCACTGTGTCTCGCCACTAGTATGGCATCTTTCCAACATGCGCCCAGGCAACATGAAACTTCCGAAGTTTGGTCAATTCAATAATTCCACGCCCCGGCCTTGTGGATGGCAATCTCATTCTGCCAAGATGCACTGCTGATTTGGAGCCTGAGCTACGAGCACTGCCTCATCTAAACCGGCAGGAAACATCTGGGCTCAAGACCTAACAAGCTCTTACCCCCCACCAAGCCCCCCAACTTCTGGATGCATTTCACCGCAAGCACCTGATTGTTGTTCCTGCGTTTGGCCTGCCCAGGGCGGACTAGATCACATTTTCCCTGTGGACCACTTCCGATGACCATGCTTGTAGCTTTCGGAACTAGCAATAGCTTTCGGAACTAGCAAGCAGACAAGGCCCGCGCCCAGAGCACTTTTGCGGTCGAACCATTGCCTAAAAGGACATGTTGGGCCAAAAAGCACGGACAATCTTGTCTGCAACCGGTGGTACATGTGACGAAATTGTGTTCAGAACATCGCGGGATAGAATTTACCACTTGAGTGCTGGGGCAGACACCAAGGATTCTGCATGGATCGACGTCGCAAGCTTGCAACAACTCCTTTGAAAGCCAAAGGCCCAGAACCAGCTTGATTGAATGTGTTTGAATGCGTCAAATGAAAGGAAACGTGCCACGCTGAGGTCCCCACAGTGGGCAGAGTAGGTGGGTCTGCCTAATCAGGCAAATGCAAAAGAAGGCTGCTGACACGTACTGGTCTTTCAGGGAAAGAAAGTTCTGAGACCATGGAGCCACACAAAAAGAGCATCCTTTGAGACGCAATCCCGAGCCTGAACGCTTGGCTTTTCCACGCACTCAGCCAGAGCCTGGGCAACAACGCCCGTTGAAACCGTTGAAAGGGGGCGTCAAAGAAAGGCGTGGCTCTCTGAGGCTTCCACCCACCGCAGGCCACAAGTAATGGCAGCTACTGATGCAGTTGCAGCTGCCTTTGCGTGTGCGCAACTGACGAAAGCAACATGTGACACAAACTCTCAACAACTCCATCCCCTTGCAGGTTTTCTTAGCACCACACACTGACTGACACCCAAAGGCCAGTGCCAGCTGTAGCAACCCCGCCACTGGCACTCGGAAGCGCTAATGCAGCCTGCAGCCAAGATGTTGTTTGCAGTGCAGAAACAATCATTGCTGCTGACCCATGACCAAGGCTAAGGCTCCCAGATGAGGGGCAAGGGTGCCAATGGAGGCTCCATAGTAGGCCGCACCTGTAAAGAAAATGAAGATGCTTGCATTGCTTTACCAATTGCAAAATGACAGTGTCAGGGCTGACCTGCGAAGGCGCACTCCATAGGATTCACGTATTGGACAAAGTATTGTGAATCCTTTTGAGAAAATTGTTTTTAGGTTCCTGGGCATGTGGTTGCATGCAGTGTCACCACAATAGTAAATCACTGACTGATGTTCAAATGTTGGAAGCTTGCGTGACGTGAGATGGGCTGTAGTGGGAACAGATTCGCAGAAATGATCAGAACAATTGGTAAGATTTGGCAAATATGTTGCCCATTCACTTCCAAGCCGATCAAAGCCAAAGGGGCTTCCAGTTTTCAGATCATGTTGATCACTTTGAACGCATGAATCTGCACATGTAGTAGTATGCGTAGTTGCCATTGCCCTTGATTGAAGATTTGGATCATGTTGGTCCAACTTCAGTTCTGATTCATTCTCATGCTCTTTTGAGTCATCAGCAGATTCATCCTGCTGTTGGGTTCTCGTCCACTTTCATGTTCCCTGGGCAGTAACATTCCGTGAACATGTGGCTCAAAGACTTAAAGAACAGCTGGAGTGGTTCACATCACAAATAATAGAACAACGGATGTCAGGATTCAGGAGTCCATGGCTCCACCATGTGATGCTTGATGTTGATGGCTATCCAGGAGGGCCAAGACTTCAGGTCGTTTTGTTAGTGCATTTGACTCCCACATGTCCCCAATGCTGCCATGCTCACTTTTGCGACATCTCCCGCATCCACAAGTCAGTCGTGAAGCATCTGCAGAGCCAGAGGATATCATCCCTTTACTCTTTGGCAATCAAACATGGCTGTCTTGCAAGTACCTGTGGCTTGAAGGGTACAGGGTATACGGTGTATACATATATAATTATATATATATGGGTGTAGACATACGTACCCTGCCAATGGCCAAGGCGATATTCCGGAAGAATGTGCCATCTTCGATTCATTTTGTATTTCCCCCTAGTCTCAGCTTTCTTCTAGCAAAGCAAGACCTGACAAGACCTGGGTGCAACAAAGCGTTTTGCTATGATAAGAAACTATATAATCGAACATGGGGAATAAACAGGCCTAGAAGACTTCGGACTCAAGGATTTAACTACACAACTTGGAAAAATAGATTCGCATATTTCCGTTGAGGTGCACATTGAAGGACACATGCGCAGCATGCTTGAAGCCTTTGGGCCTTGCCTGATGTCGCCGCCGCGGCAACAGCGGCCATAGGATTGTCCAGACGGCGGAGCCCACCTGATGCATCTTTTTCTCCACCAAATCTCTATCCAACAACATATTTTCAGAAAATCGTGTCTCATGTTCAATCCGCAGTGCAACTAGTTGAAATTCCAACCGAATGGCATTCAGCTGAGAAGCAGACTGCTGCCGACCAGCTACATGGTCACCTTCGCCTTCCATCAGTGCCTTGCGAGGCGATGAAGTTAGCTTTCAGCTTCTGGTGTTTGAAAGGAACATGTCAAAACCTTGTGTCATGGTATTTAATGAAACATGCAACCGGAATTTTCAGCTGAAGTACACCAACATCGACTCCCAAACACCGAGTTTGTGCATGCCGAGACAAGATCCCCCCATGGCGAGACAGAGTGATGGACCAATCGATGTCGTGACAATATTACAGCTTCCGGAAGACACAAACTCACGTAGCCACAAAAACTCACATGGGGAGATCAAAGCCTTTTTTGGGCAAGAGTTTCAGCATTGTTTCAACAGCGTGACAAAATCACACAAGATGGTCTACGAGACAGCATCCATCTCACGACAGGATCCCACCTAGGAAACAAAGTGAAAGGAAAACCCACGCGGCAAAATGAAGGACAACATCATGAAGGTGACAAGATCCTACAACAGGAGACAAAGTGGGAGACAAACTTAACATGCTCAATACAAGATCCTACAACCGGAGACAAAGTGGGAGACCTGGAGACAAGAACCCCGACAACAGTGCAGTCTGGAAAAAACCTCCGTCAAAATTGTACTGTTTGCAGGATTCTCTCACAGCATGTGCTACGGAGTGACAAGTGTCACCTTTCTTGCAGCCGTTTTGATTGTTCTGGTCTCATTGGCAACTTGGCGCTTACAAGGCTGTTTCAATGACCTGCAAGTTCTCAAAAGAAAATACAAACACAAGTGTCTGTTCAGCACAGGAGCAAAATATGCAAAATCACTTCGACAAATGCACACAAAGTAAGACAGGTGACGCCGCAATTGTACCATCGGTGTCACGGCAAAAACCCTGAAATACTCAAACAAAAAGCACCCTACTCGGTCAGTAGATTCAAAGACCTGCAATCCAAAACATCGCAAGGCTGATGCAGGAAGAAAAAGCAGGACAGCCTAGTCAGCATTGCACGTCATCACAGTTTTGGTGTATGAGTCGGTCGAAATACAGAAATATTCCACAAACGTGTGAGCACATTCCCCCCTTTTGACTTGTTTATGTATATGTTTTTTATTGCATGTCATCTGCATGTCCGGAGCAGAACGCAATGGAAATGATCCCTGCTGTTTGCTGTGGAGAGCCTCAACACTCGTTTGCCAACCGGACAACGGCATGGCCAAAGAAGAGGTTGATCATGGTGGCCTGCAGCGCGAAACCCACCAATGTGAACAAAAGCGGCAAAGTGCGGCTACTGCCATCACGGCAACACGAAAATCCTTCAGCAACATTCAACAACCAAATTTGAGGTTCAAAAATGGTATGGTTTGCTACCAACTTCTTGAGACTGCACAACAACTCCACTGTCCATCGCTGGCTCTGGCCGAGGCTCCTGGGCCCGGTCCACCTCAAGCCGCGCCGGCGCATGCGCCCAAGCAACTTCAGGGTGTGCAACCTGGGCAAACAGAAAAAAACTCCGGGTGATTTTTTTTGCCACCTTTTCAAGACGGTTCCCGCACATAACATCACGCTCCGTGAGGCACTTGTTTGGTAGTCATGGTTCGCACAAACAGGTACAATTCCAACATATTCAATATTCATCTCATTTTTGCCCGTTCTGACCTCTTGATCTTGATGTGGCTTGTGCAAGGGCCACAAACAAGATTGTGAATATCTCTGGCAGTGCTCACCAAGACATGCTGCAGTTCGGCAATGGGGTGGCGAATGATTGATCCCGACAACTCCAGGGGGTTGAAACATCATTTCTGACATGTTTCTACTACCGTAGCTGCATCACGTGTGGGTGTTGGCTGCTCACAAAACATACACTGGCATGTTTCTACCAACCGTGACCTTGCAATAGACAGTTTTAACTCATATAGGTGTGTCTCCATGTGCGCACATCTCAGAGATGGCAAACAAAGCTGAGGAATGATAGACCACTTACCCGGCTTGAATTTTCACCACAGACTTTGCCGCACCAGCACTGCCGTAATCACTTTGAAGCACTGAAAATGGTGCCCGCGGGATTTCCGATGAGTTTGAGACCTGCCCAAAATAATGGCCATCCAGCTCTCCCATCTCGATTGCGAAGCTTCCTCTGCGCACGCCTCAAGGCCTCACCAACCTCATTAGTTTCAATCAGTTCTGCATAGAATGCGTTCATCAAATCCTTGGTGGCATCATCACTGATCGCCCATTGACTCGCAAGCACTCTCTTGGCACCTGCCAGTTGGAAGGCTCTGGTTAGCCCAAGTACGCCTTCACCTGGGAACATTTCACCCAAGCCCGTGTGGCAAGCACTCAATGTGACTAACTCGCAATGTGGTAACTTCAAACCGCGGACTTCTGCGGCTGTAAGGATGCCACTTTGCTTGGTGGCTCCTTCTCGCAGCCATGTTTGAGCCCCGGCAAATGCTAAGCCAGACCAATGCCAAGGATCCTGATATGGGCCTTCCTTGAGGGCACGCATGAAACGACATGGTTCACGACTAGCTTGTTCCAAATTTGGATTCAAATAGAAGCCATGCGTAGCAATGTGGAGAATGCGAAGTGAGCCCACTTTGAACAACACCAAACTTGAAGCCTCCTCACCGAAGAAGGACTGGGTTGGTTCGAAGTAAAACTTTTCCGCAGCTTGATTTAAACACTTCACCACCATCTCCCCTTCAAAACGTGTGTGTTTCAGGGGCCCGAAACAGGCTCCACGGTCAGTGCCCTGTGTGATGGCTGTTCGAAGAGCTGAATCACCCAAGCCTCCTCCATGCTGTTCTGAGTCAGGATTTCCACTGCAAACCTGTTGAATGATTTGGTCAACATAACTTTGTTCGCAACCAACCGACAGGACGCGTACAAATTTTCCACTGATGGGAATGATTCTGTCCACTGTGACCGAGTCGTCCTCTGGTTGATATCCTTCTTGCGGTGCTGCGCTGCTTTCAGACGCTGCAGGGAACTCGAAGGTTGGGTCAGCAATGACAGCGCAACCACATGCAGAAGCAGGTACTTCGCATGACCAAGTCAGTATATCTCGGGCACTGGTGACGTAGCTGATCGTCAGGTCCAAATCCAGGACATAGCCGTCATCTTGGAGGGGAAGGGCTTGCCATGGCAACTTACCAAGCGGACCATCTGCTGCCACGATGAAATGATCAAGGTCGGGAATTCTGCAACGAATGCGATCGAAAAGCCTTTCTCGCAATCGATGCCCAGCTTCAAAGAAGTCGGCAACCTTCCTCCTCACCACACTCTTGGGAAGGGTTTCAAACAGATTTGGGTTCCAGCTCAGGAACTCCATATATTGTTCTATGTCTTCGTCCAAGGCGCCAAAATCAAACAGCAAAGGCTGCTCACCATGACAATATGAATCCGGGAGGACCACTGCTGCTACGTACCTACGCAACACATGCTTGAGTCCATCTCTCAAATCTGGGACAACTTGATGAATGTACACAAATTCAATAAGGCATGCGCGTTCTGGAATACATCGGCTGACTTCTGCGACGTTCACACATGTGAACATGGAGTCGATGCGGTTGGTAGCAGCCAAGGTCCTTTCCAGATCCCGCTGTTCAGTCATGAGTTTCTCGATTGCTTGGCTGGACATTGAGGAAGTAGTTCCAAATACACGTTGCGCGAGCTCTCTGCGTATGCTCGACAAGCGCTCAATGCGGGAATCTAAAAATGACATTGATCTTTCGGCCTTCTGGCACATTAGCCACACACCCTTCCGTTGAAAAACGATGTTCAAAATGTCTTCCTTCGTATTTGCATCGGGTTTCGTCAATTCGGTCACTGAGGTGGAAAGTTGTCTGAGTCCGTTCAACTCCAATACTGCTGAGAGAATCAAATCCAAATCTCCACTTGCGTGCGACAGAAAACTCATCTTGTGACGTTCATGACTGAAAGCCATCACAGCTGGTAGCAGCAGTGACTGTCGCTTTGCAGCTTCCATCAATTGCTGCAGCATATCACCAAATTCCCCCGCGTTGGCTAGCACCTTGGACACGCATTTTGCAACGCACGGAGATGTCGAAATGCGTTTGACTCAAGGAAGGCAAACTTCGAAAACGTATCTTAGCAATGTTTTAGTACCCGGACATGTCGGTGGCGGAAATTTCAGAGGATCAATGCCCACAGGGCGAAAGAAAACTGCGCCTATAGGATGCGTGCGAGACCATCTGTGCGTTCGACTTTGACATCTCTCGCGTGACATCTCTTTCTTTTGCTATCTCTTGCTCTTGGCATCTCCTTCCATCGGCATCTCCTTCTCTTCTCTTCTGTTTCTATTCTCACTCTTCTTCTTGACATCTCTTTCTTTTGACATCCCTTTTTTCCTGTCATTTTGTTTTCTTTGGCATGTCTTTGCTTTGACATCCCTTTTTCTTGTCGTCACTTTCGCTTCACATCTCTTTCTCTTGGTATTTCATTCTTTTGGCATGTCATCGTTTGCTCTTGACATCTAGACCTTTTGAATCTCACTCACTTCACATACCTTATTTCCCGTCACCCCTTTCTCCTGCTGTTATCTTTTTTTTGACGTCTCTGTCCTTCCTCCTCAAACCTGCTTCTGTTCACATCTCTTCTCTTCACTCTTTCTCGTTCTTTCTCTTTCCATCTCTCCCTCTTGACAACGCTTGTCCATCTGCTCGCAGACACAGGTCAAAATTCCTTGGCGCAGCAATTCGAATGCGCTGAGCAACCAATGAATTGCAAAACACTATGCCAGTGGCGCACAGGCGTGCATCAAAAGTTACCTCACATGTCAAACGGGAAACGCAAGAGAGCGACGCACGCAAAAAAAACACAGGAAAATCACCGAAAACACTTACGCTGCACGGCCGATCGCAGACCATTCCCAAAATGACCCTCTTCTGAGGCTGCTCTCTCTCAAAACCGCATTTGGGACAAGACTTCCTCCAAAAAGTGCAATTTGAAGATGTGAAAATGCAGCTTTCACCAGAAACTTCCTTCAAAGATCCAACTCTACCCTATTGCAACTCCACCCTATTGTACTGTTCTCTTCTCTATTCTGATCTACTCTACAACCCTACTCTGCTCTTCTCTCCTCTACCCTACTGCTTCTCTGCTCTTCTTTGCTCTGCTCTGCTCTTCCCTACTGTTCTCTTCTCGACTCTTCTCTACTCTGCTGTGTTGTGCTCTTCTTGAATCTCTGTGACACGGAAGTTTCTCTGGGATAGCTACATCTGCTTGTGAAAATTCTGAGAGTTGCGAAGGAGGACGCATCAAAATTAGAATGCCACATGGCTCCACCATGGTGACAGTCACACTCGGAGGCACACTCAGGAAAAATGAACATGAATGTCGACAAAGTGGAAGACAAGACAACACCCACACACGCCAAAATTGGCATAATCCCTTTTGCTTCATGGAAAGCAAGAACCCTCACAGTTTGCAGATCCCGCTTGGAAAGAAAAATAAAGGAATTTGCTCATGGCTAAGACCTGCTCCACTGCAGGCTTGCCTTTTTCAAGCACACTCGTTTCTACTACTGGGTACCACCAGCAATCACATCGCCAATTCCCACCAACAAGTTTCAAACGAATTTTCAGGCCTACCGGATCTAGCATTGCAGAAAAACATGTGTTGGGTTCCTCATGTTTCATGGGGAAAAGGTCGTTGCGAATGCACTGGGGCCAAGCCCTTCGAGAACAAATTGTTTGGCCACAACCAGTACCCAAACTGATAAAGTTCTTCTACAGCTAAGGCAAGAACGGCTGCAATATTCACCAAACAAGTTGTGGTATTTGGATGGTACTTGCCAAAATGTTGCTCCCCCATCTCCAACGCTCTTCGTGAAAGGGCCAAGCTTTCATCTATCTTACCACGGCAGAGAGCCACCTGGGAAAGCCCGCCCAGACTTTCATGGCATTGCGCCAAGTCCTGCCTTAACTCACGAATTTTCAATGCTTCCTCGTGCAAAGGAGCTGCAGCGTCCATCTCTCCAAGCATTGATAGCAAGTGCCCCAAGTTGTTCAAGGCGTCCGCCAACTGAAGGTCATTCTCTTTGCAAAATTGCCGCTGAAGATGTAGGGCTCTTCCAGTATCGACTTTGCCCGCTGGCCGTGTTTCTCATTGCCTGTTCTTTCAAAAGCCCTGGCTAGAGCTGCTCCGAAACTGCTCAAAGCCAATCTGTAGGAGCGATGCCCTCTTCCCAAAACTTCCTGAGCCTTCTCCACGGCAACTTCTGAATAAGCTACTGCTTCCTGAAATGCACCACTCAAAAGGAAGAGCTGCGCTAGTTGGATCAGGGTCCTAACACGCATTGGGTGCGATTCTCCAAGGAGTTTCTGTCGCGTATCTTCGACCGTCTTCAAAAGGGAATGAGCCTTGTCAAACTCGCCTCTTCTCAGTTTCAACTCCGCCAGAGTGCTCAAAACAAGCGTGCGATCTGTGGAGCAGGGATTGTGCGTTTCTTGGGAAATCTCAAGCGCTGCTGACAGAGCCTCCTCAGCCTCGTCGAGTTGCCCAAGTTCAAGATAAATTTCTCCTAGGAAGCAATTCGAGGAAAACACGTCTGGATGGTTTTTGCCACCCAAACGCAGTCGGAAATTCTTTGCTTCAGTGAGTAGCTTGCGCGCTTCATCCAGCTGGTGCATTTCAAAGTAGTAATGCCTTTCAAGGTCGCCAACTTCAATGGTGTCGCATCAAGCATCTTAAGGTATCTTGAGTTCTTTCTTTCCACTCATATGATTCTGATTCCACAGCTTTCAAAAGACATCTGGCCAAAAATTAACTCTCGTTTGACAACTCGCTAGTTTTCAGAACCAAATTCTTGCAGCACCCCACCTGCCAAGATCATGCACACAAGACATGGCACATCCACAGTTTCGCCCCCATTTATTCTCTGCTAGGCGCAATGCTTCTTCCAAAGTGGCTAAGCCCTCTTCTGCCCTGCCCAATTGTGTTTGCAGCTTTGCCAGCCGCAGGAGGGTCATGATTTGTTCAACAGTGTTAGCGTTGGTCATCGGGCTACAATCTTTGAAGCTTTCCACAAGACGTTCTGCTTCTGCGAACTCTCCCAGGCCATTTGCCAGTAAGCCCGCCAGCTCAACCTTGATCTTCAGCTCCAAGGTCCGGTTTCGTGGCTCATAAGTTTGCTGACTTGCAGCCGCCTCTTGCAGAAGTGATTTGGCTTGGTGGAAACACATTGACGATTGCGGTTGAAGGATCAGCGCTTTGGCCTTTTCCAGCTTGAGCTTTGCCAAGCCAACACCTTCATGCGCTCGTGACAGCATTTCCAGCTGCTTCATATTCTCCTCAAACTCCTGGTGGTCCAAGTCCAGCTTCAATTTGCCTGTTGGAAAGGTCATGGGTTCAAATTTCAGCTCGCCAAGCCCAAAGCTTGAGCATCTGCCTAAAAACAACTTTGACTTCAAAAAGCAAAACTCTCGCTAATATGTTCAGCTGCCATAATATCGAAGTAGCCTGAAATGCTGCTCTATGAAGCCATTGGTATTGGTTGACAGACCCCAATTCTCCACCTTTCGCTTGCGAGCTTCCCTTGCCAGTGCAGCAGCATCTTCCCGCTTCCCAATATCGATTCCCTGCTGAATGATTTGTGCCACAATTTGTAAATGGGCAACTGTTGGGTCAGCTGGCAGTAGGAAGGCTTTTTCCACTGTGCTTTTGGCTTCACCGAAGCAGCGGCAAGCTTCCAGCGCATCCGCTACTAAGAACATGCAACTTGCGACTGAGGCACCTGCTTGGCGCACCCTCTGTGATGCAAGCTCACTCATGAGCTCCTCTCTCGCTTCAAGCGCAAGCTTGCTTGCAGCATCGAACTTGTTCCGATAAGCAAGACATCTGGATTGTAGGGCTTTAGCCTTTTGTATCCTCAAGCGGGTGCATTCTGAGTGGTAGCGCAAACATGGAATGATGTTCCCTCTAAGAACTCCACCCCAGAAACCTTTGAAGAGTTGCTCAGCGGAGCTGCAAGGAAACCTATACTATGGACAACTGTAATAGCAGCAGCAAGCGCCTTGCAACAGCGGTACCACATCTATTTGAGAACACAATGTTAAATTCAAATTCAAACGGATTTACCTAATTCTGTTTGATACAGTAACTTGCCTGGCATTCATGATCTTTTGGGATCGTTCGCTCCTATTTCGCGAAGGAAAGGACGCAAGAAACCGAAAAAACAAGCAACTCCCTTCAAATTAGGAGAACCGGCAAGTTCAAGAAAGACAGAAGGCACCGAAGGGAACTGCTGCACCAGTACCAGCCCAAAGCAAACCAAAGAGAACCGCGCAGCCATGGAAACGACTGACGCACATGAATAATAAAAATAATGCAGACAGAGAGAGAGAGAGGGAGAGAGAGAGAGAGAGAGACACACACATAGGCCAGAACAACCTAGGTACCACGTTTTGAGATTGTCGTCATGTCAAACAGAAGTGGTCTTGCGCTGCAAATCGAGGCAGTTGCAGCGAAAGAATGAAGACACTTGAAGACACCAGAAGATACCAAGAACCAGGGCACCCTTCAGCAACCCCCGTCTCACCAAATCGCCTCAGCCAACTCTTTGTATCAGAAGAAAAGAGCCTGATAGCGAAGGCTGTCGGCGAAAAACTGATATAATGTGTTATGAATGCTATGAGAGGGGAGGATGATGACACAAGGTACCTTTCAACAATCCTAGACAAAAGTCATCCATTTCACGCCATGTCAAACCCCTGTCTAGCGAAAACTTCCAAGCTACGCATCATGTCGACGCTGTTTTACTCAAAACATATGACAATTCCAACGTTGCCCGTTGCATTACTTGACTGTCTTGAGCCCCAAACGAGAACTAGATTCTTCAAGGCTGTCTTCAAACAAATCAGAACCATGATCATAGTCCCTTATGAAAGAAGCTCATTGAAAGAAGCTCATAGAGACGAGGTGAACAACCGTACTAGTGTGGAACTTCAGAAATCCGTAACCACGACCACGCCAAGTATCAATGGGAACAGCTGTCCTGCTGGCAACGAAGATGCGAGCTCTCGCCCTTGCTGCAAGCGCTGTTCAGCATCGTCCAATTTGCCCAGTTGCAAAAAGCACTCTCCCAACTGTATGAAATTCACAGAAAGAGAAGGAACTTGTTCTGAACCAGACTTATTCTGCAAAATCGCTATGGCCCGATGAGTAAGAGGGTATGCCTCTGAAAAGCGACCCTGCTGGTACAATAGATCGCTGAAGCTCACCAAGGCAGTCAAATATGTTGGATCAACTGCTTCTTGCATCTCAATCGCTTGCTGGTAGTGTAGTTCCGCAGCACAAAGTTGTCCACAGAACTCTTCAAGATTTGCAAGGTTGTTTAAGGTGAGCATGCAAGCCTTGGAGACTTCCCCATATGCGCTTCGTTCAGCAGCGAGAGCTTCTTCGAACAAGCTATGCGATTCCAGAAACCTCCGTTGCTGTCGCCGAACTTGAGCAAGAGTATTGAGACATGCCCCTAGAAGCTCGCCATCTTGGTGGAAGTATCTTTTGCAAAGACCCACGGCATTCTCAGCATGAACTTCAGCTTTCGAGATGTCTCCAACAGACAAATAGGTAATGCTGCAGTTGTTCAAACATATCACATAATGCCTGTTCATGCTTGAGTTTCCAACCAACGGCCAGCCTTCAATAGCATCTTCGTACAGCGGCATTGCTTTGACGACATTCTGGGTCAACCTATAGAAGTCGGCTAATATGAACAAGGCCTCCTTATGCTCTTGTGAATGAAGTCCAAACTTTAATGCACAGCTCTCACACTCTGCAATCATGTCCTCTTCTTGCGACAAATGTTTTCTGATCGGCTCAAAGGTGTGAGAAGGATTGTGCACAGTAACTGCCACTTGCTCAAGGCTAAATGAACCACTTGTCTGTCCATTTTGGCAAACTGTTCCAGTGATCACTCCAGCACCATTTTCCTGGCCATCAAAAATCGTCTCCTTGTCTTGCACTTTAAAATGACCACCGGAAACGGACGCCACGATATCCTGGTTTTGTCCATCCACAGTCCAATAGCCTCCTGCAGTTGTACGGAGGTTGATAAACACCTCTTTTTGCAGTCCAGAAAAAAGATCAGGATGACTAAAGTGTCCGCTGTATGAAGTGCGGACTCCTTGAGGCCGATCCATGCAACTTTCGCACAGATCAAAATTGTCACACTGCTTACATTTGTAGCGACAGCCAGTAATGTTTTCTGCCAGACACCAATCACAAACAACACCATGGTGAACGACTACCTCCGAATCGCCCATGCTTGCTCGAGGTCACTGAGTCCTGAGGAGAAATAGTTCTGAATGACGAAGCCTAACGAGCATTCAAAACATCGATGCAAACTAGCTGAAAAACTTGATATGGTTGTGACATCACTGGTAAAACAACATGACATAAGTTGACACAAGTATTTCGGGTAGACTGTCTTGTCCAGCTCGCCTGTCAGAATCTTCGAAAGAGCAGTCATGAGTCATGATTGCTGTGTCTTGATGTTATCAGTTGAAAGGAAATAAGCTCTGGCAGCATTAGCTCTTTTATGTCACACTGTCGCAGTTGAGGTGCTTGTGTATGAATTCAATGTACCTTGCAAAGTTCTGAGACGGCTTTTCCGAGCCAGATCCAATGACGATGTGTTAAGTGCAGTTGGCCCACAACTTGAAACAACAATGGCAACAAGTTGACAGCACCTTGCACTTCTGATTTCCGCTCTTCCTCAGCAAAACGAGACATGAAGCCCTTCCCCCAATCTCAGAAGCTCACGAAAGTTTGCAAGGATTTATCTCATCATGACCTGGCTTGCTAACAGACTTTGCACAGAAAAGGGTACATCGTGGCTTGTCAGCATCACACCCACACGACGCTTTGCCCCAGAAAGCGCAGCATGCTGTGCTCAAGCGCACCAATTCAAAGCAGACCATGTACTGACATTGCACAGTCGCCTGCTCCTGGCAATAGATGGCCAGTGAACCTCACCTCATCGCAGATTCAATGCCTTCAAGTTCAAGCCATTGAAGCTCCTGGTTTCTGATGTGTTGTTTATTTTGAAGGCTACATGCTTGGAAAATATGATGGAGCATACTGTGATGACTGCAGTCGATTCAACAAGAATCGGTGCAACCAGTGTTGTTCATGCAGCCGGAAGAGGGAAGAAACATGCAGCCGGAAGGCAAAAATGTCGCTGGGGAAAACTGACAAATTGGTGAACTACGCTTCTGGTTGGAATGTTGGTTTGTGGCCCTATGTTTTTATTACATCTTTTTAAGAGCTCAAGCGTGCAAGTTCCTGGGCCTTTGAAATCACTGTCAGAGATTCTACCAGACTTGAGCCAGGAATTCGGAGAGCCAAGTTGTCCTAAACTGTCGCGCAGAAAGCTATGTCCTTTAAAGCATTAGTTCCACAGGGCTCACACAACACCTAGCAGGGACTGAAACTGAAAGGGACAGCCATCAGCAGCAGCTCTCACAAAAAAGTGCCTTTTGCTCTGCAGATCCTCCAACTCTGAGATCTATTGGAGCAAGTCTGAATACTCTTCACGGATTGCGTCCAGCAGCTCGATTCCACGAAGCTGTGGGTTGTTAACCAGGAAACCTTAGCCACGTAGAGAAACAAAAGTGCGTGCAAGGTTATGCTTGACACTTGTACACGTGCTGTCTGAATCATTTTTGGTTGCTGTCTTCATGCCGAACCAACAAGCAGGGACAACCACTTGCCAAGATGCTGCGGAGGGATTCCGCTGCTTCCTTGATGGCCTTGATGATGAATGAAGCAGTGTCCAGAGAATCACGGGTGCCCGGTGCCTCGGCGATCTCCTGAGCTCTCTGCTGAACTCTCTGAGCCTCAACTGCAATGGAAAAAACACAGCCTCAAAAACCGTGGCATTGATGCTCGCATGGTTGAGATCTGTAGCACTAAACACTAAATTCACTAAATGCCAGCTGGCAAGCCTCGAACCTGTTTAAACAAAACAAAAAACAGCGGTTTGAAGAAAACTAGCCACGCGCGCAAGCAATTGAGCAGCTGCAGTGAAGTCTAGGATAATTTGTTGATCCTTCAGTTGTGCGTGTTCCACGAAGCGGTCTTCAAGCAGGTTGGCAATATCATGCCAGTCGGTATTCGCGTCACCATCAGGCCTAACCCACGGCGTGTTGTCGGGGTCTGGAGGTGCCTGGAAAAGTATATATATATATATTTATTTATTTATTTATTTATTTATTTATATTTATATTTATATTTATATATAATATATATGTATAAATATGTGAATAAATTATATATATATTATAGCATCCTATAGTCTTTGACAACTAGCAGAGGCAAAAGCTTGAAAGACCAAAACTCGTTGCGCTGAGCATCATTGTAGTGAGACGGATGCATTCCAGGGCATCATGAAGGTCTGGGCTCACCACAACATACTCGTAGATGTGCTCACCATTCACTGTCTCAATTCCTGCAACCGGCTCATCGTTTAGAAGGATTCGAATCTGATTTTCCTTCAAGATCTTTGGATCATTCACATGGCCAAAGAGACTCTGCCGCAAGTCAAATATTGTCGCTGTCGTGGGAAGCTGGACAGTAACTTCAGCACCGGTGACCGCGGAGCAACAGCGTACGTCCATCTTCGCAAAAGACTCTGATGGCGGAAAATTTTAGTAACTCCAGTACCTGGACTCTCAGTGCCAAATGAGACAGGTACTAAGACAAATCCACCCAAGTATGGTTGACCCCAGAAACATGCATGGTGAGTCTCACTCCGGTGAGTGTGTGCATCATGTCTCCCCAAGGCCTCAAATTCGTTGATAAAAGATCTGATAAACATAGTAGTACAGTAAATCCAAACATTCAAAACCATTGGAATCTTGATACCAGTCCTTCATGAGGTTGCCTAGCAAGCGACAGCATGGACATGAAACCAAGTAAGCCATTCAGGTCAAACATGGTGGTAAGCCCACCTATGTCCACTTGGCGAACCGTCATGCCAACGCTTCAAAAAAGAGGGCTGGTATGGCTGGTATTGTCCAGTTTCAGCGTTGATGAAGATTGTTTAGACTCAGTTTGCGCTTGGGCAATAAGCTGCAATGATTGCACAAACATGTGGAGGAATAGCTCATCAAGAAGGGCTCATATAGCCACAAACACTTCCATTCCATTCCATCAAATATCACTCTCAATAATAAACTGAAGTCGTTGCCACAGGAGCGCACACAGTCGCTGCACCGCATCTTTTAACCAACTCGCGCGTCAAATGTCGCCTGAGAAGCCAAGATGGCAACATGTGACTGGGAGGCAAACAGCGTCCTTTGGGTTTGCCATCAAAACATGTGACTGATGTTGTCTTCAAAGAATGATCTTCTGATTGTCTGTTACGCCATAGATGTTCTACATCTGCATTTATATGGATTTGTCTGAAAATCGGGCAAGCACCCTCAAATTCCCGTGGTTATTGTAATATGCCCTTTAATAGAATGACCATTTGGAGGTACACCCCATTTTCAAACACATATTGGATCTGCAGAAGCGCGCAAATCTACCCTAAATCACGGTGCACTTCTTTATCGCACCTCCTCAAGTTGCCAACTCGGTAGTCATTGAAGTTCTCCCTAGGCCGAAGAAGACTTGCAACCCCCAACTCTGAGCAGACTCTGAAAGTCAGCCAGCTCAAGCACAATTCAATACAATTTCTTTGGTTGGAATCAAATACCTCCAAAACGATGCGTTCTGGCCTCTGGACAAACCGGTTGATGCTCACCACATTGTCTCCATCCTGCCCAAGAATTCAACTAGAACTTAAATCTGTCCCAGCTGTTTCCACATCTGCAGGCTGCCCCTCCAAAGACCTTGCAAGCTGGAAGATACGGGTTCAATCAAAAATTGGTAATTATGCCACAATCATTAGAACCCCATGGTAAAATCATAAGTTTTCTTGCGGAAAAAAGTAAACTCAGGTGCTATCCCCAACAGTTTGAAAACTTCTGCGTTTTTGCCATACAAAGTGTTTGTGCCATAAAAATTAAGCGTTTATGCCATTAAAAAAAAAACATCTGAACCCTTTGGAATTTCACAAAGCATCCGTACCAGAACCCTCCGGAACCTCACAAGGTCTCTGCACCGGAACCTTCCGGAACCTCACAAGGTCTCTGCACCGGAACCCTCCGGAACTTCACCACACATCTTCACCTAGACCCTCCGGAAACTCATCAGGTAGCTGCACTTGAAACTTCCGGAACCTCACCCGGTACCTGCACCAGAACCCTCCAGAACCTTGTCCGGAACCTGGTGTTGAAGCTGCACCGGATTGCGCCAGAGCTAATCTGGGTTAAAGACCCCATAGCAAAGTTTTTTCCTCAACAACACAAATTTTGGGGTGTCGGTGTCCCGCGTTTTCTGGGCAAACCCATACCCTTTTTTGCCAAAAGTATTATCTTGCTGCACCCATCTTGGCATTTCCGGAGCTATGCCTTGCAGCCACTTCTCTGCGGTCGTGTCGAACATATGGCACGACTTGACCCACAATGGGCCGGCCATTCGGATCTGAAACCATCCATTTGGGGGCCCAATAACTTGGTTTCAAACCCAGCTGACAATGATGAAATCCAACATCTCAAGCTGTAGCCTTGAAACTCATATGTTTCGTGTTTGATGCCCATACCGGACTTATCAGGTGATGCGCTCCGGAGATCATCATAGAGCTTCAAATGCCTGCGGGTGCTCTTTCTTTTCATTAGCAACTGAATAGTTTCTTGGAAAGTATGCTGTCATGCATAGTCAGCAGGTAAACACGAGTTACACTATCTTCAGATGTGCACGATACATGATAGAACCCGCCCGCACTGAAGGTGCCGCGGGGTGGTAGTTTAACAGCCAGGGAAACGAACGGACAGATCTGTCAGACTGGTACAGCTTCAGCTGGAGGGGGACCATGTTTGCTTGGGCGCGCCGCCAAAAAGTGCACGGGACCGTAGTAATTTGCACATTTTGCAGATCGGTCCAAAATCGTCCAAATGTGCCGTTTCCATCCAGCACATTGGCCCGACTTGGAGTCAACTTCCCCGCTTCGGCCAGCAAGAGCCCAACTTCGGCCCAACTTGGACCAATTGGCTCCAACTTCGGCCCAACTTGCCTCCAAGATGGCGCAACTTGGCCCCAACTTGGACCCATAGCCGGGCCCAATCCGAAATCCTCAAAACGCCCGTTTTCAGTAGTATGTTTCCACATTTTTTTGCTATCGATGACGCTTCGTTTGAAGCAATGACCTGGTGTGAAGTTGCGGCATGTTAGACTCGACTTGGACTTCCATGTGCATCACATGCATTGAATTTGGAATCCATCTGGATCGCTTTGGGCCCAACTGCAGCCCAACATGACCAATTGGCGCCAACTTGAACTTCAGTTGAATCCAAGACAACGCACCTTCGACCCAAGCTGGGCGCTTTGGGGCAGCCCGGGGCCAAGTTGGGCCCAGCCCGAGCCAATTTTGCGGGCTCAGTGCGGCACGCTGAAAATGTGCATTTTTGCTGCTATTTCCAATGTTATTTGGCTTTGATGGGGTTTCGTGCTGTCTTGGGCCCAACTTCGGCACCAGATGCCCCACACAGGACCAAGTTGCGCATTCTACGCCCAACTTGCGCCCAAGCGTGCGCAAGTTGCACCATGTTGGACCCTAGTTGGGCTCAAGTTGGGCCCAAGTTGGGGCCAAGTTGGGGCCAACTGGCCCGAGTTCGGCGCAAGTTACGCCAAGTTGGGCCCAAGTGTCCTGTTCGGCCCAACTTAAGGCCAAGGACGGCCAAGTTTGACCCCAGGGGACATGTCGAATTGGCAGCACAATCAAGGCACTACGTTTAAAACACGAGTCCGAATGAATATTTACCTTACAAACAAGCTACACTGCACAGAGCGTCTTCCTTCTGCACTTCCTTTACTAGATAGGTTCCATCTTGTTGCAAAACAGCCAGGCAAACAGAGCAGCAGTCTTCCAGAGTGTGGCCGCGGATTTTCTATCTCTCTTTCGCACAGTTCAAAAATGTCCCAATGGCCGTTGATAGCACACTGTGCGCACACAGCTGAAGCCATGTGCACAGCGTTTTGCCACAAGAGCCCTTCCGATGACTTTTCCTGTGAAGCCCCGATCAAGCGCCAGTTTGTACCACAAATGGCGTTCTTTTCGTTGCTTCCAAAATGCTATCCTCAGCCTGCCCGTGAGCAACTACTCAAGAAAGCAGCATCGGCGCTGTGTGAAAAAGGTTTCTGCCAGCTGCCAGTTGCTACAATCGTTTCTGAGCTTCTTCCGTTACACCACGGACAAATCAAATCATGATATGCGACTGATACTTGTTGCTGATGTTGTCAAAATGGAGACTCTCCATAGGCAATTTTGACACTAAAGATACCAGCGACGATCTGTGCCAGAAGAGAAATTAGTTTCTTCCGGCGATACACTTGGAATGGATAGGAAAGACTCGTGTTTTGATGGATTCCGCCCACTTAAAATCACAAATAAGTTTCAAGGCCTCATATGTCCACGAACCGATTCGATTCCCTCTGTTCAATCCAGATGTGGAGCTGCCCAGCTGCATGAATCAGCTACAGCAAGGTACCTGGTTTCAGCAAACAAAGCCCCGTCATCTGAAAGTCCAAAATACATGAGCGTCGTTTGACTATGCACTCTTGCCCGACTAGTTTTATCTGACCTGGCTCTGTTCAAATTGCCAAACGCGTGAACTGTGAGAATGCCAAAGTCACAATGCTGCATCGGAAACGCTGGCGAGGAACATCTCACAAAGATGCCTGCCATCTGGCTTTCATGGCATTTCTTCCAGGCCTCAAGCAGTGATGAGTGCTCCTTCCTCCGAAATTACAGCTGGCTCCAGGTAGCCTTGGGTCGGCTCAGTGTAGCTAAATCCGGGCAACGATTTTGAAGGCGGGAGCCTGGCTGCAAGCTTCTCAATGGCTGACGGTCGAGCAACCGGAGTGCAACGTTCCTTGACACTGGCGAGGTTACCTTGCAAGAAAAAACGCAGATACTTCGACACACCTTCCGTAAACCTTCCCGACCTCAGGCATTCCTCAGGCATGGTTTGAAATTGGTGCAATCGCTGCAACTAGACAGTTTTGCTCAAGCCACGAAGCAAAGTGGAGTCTGGAGTTGGACTTGCGCCACACAAAACTCGGAGACTCAAAACGAATCTGAGATCCACAGCAGCTTTTGACATCCCTTTGGCCACGGGGCTGTCCGCGTTGCTAATTCAACATGTCTTATACCTGAATAGGTTTGGTGTTACAAGTGGGCTGCCCCAAAATCCCATGGTGTATCATCATGTTTAGAAGTGCCATTTTGGGGTGATATACCCCACTTCTGGACAAACCCACAGATTGTAAAGCTAGAAAAAATCTGTAACACAAGGCTTGCCGTCAGCCAATGACCCATGGCACTGTAAATGCATCAAAGGTGGATGGTCCACCTGATGCTAGAGACGAAGCCTCACAGCAACATGCCTACAACTCATTCAACTTCTGAAGAATCGGCGGAAATCACCTAGCCCGACTAGAAGTTTCTGCCGCATTTGTTGGCAAACAAACCTCCGGAAACAGAGCAGTTGCAAGACACTGGCTGCATTTGTTGGTTTGTGATGTCTGTGC